TGACATGCTCCAAGCAGCGTCCTGAAAACGGGGGCAGGGGTGGGCATGGTGGTGTGATTGGTGGCTCCCCAGAATCCCATGGAATGGGGGGCAATTCCCCAAGAGAAGGGAGGGTGCCTCTAGAAGAACCTGAGTGACGGCTGCTGAGGGGACAACGCCGGTGTCTGAGCCAGCTACACTCCGGGTGCTGGTAGGGCAGGGTGCAAGGCCACAGGAAGGGAAGTCTCGGTCTGGGGCTGAGGGGGCCCAGCCCAGGGGTAGTCCTGGCATTTCACACAACTCCGCTGGAGCCACAGCTCCATGCTGGAGAAATCACGGGGGACTCACAGAGGAGGTGTTAAGGCTGGAGAGGAGATTAATTCAGTCATTCCTTCATTCCAAGACAACGTGCCTGGTATAGAAGCAAAACACTGGGGAGAGTCATAAAACAGACATGATGCTACCCATTGGGGTTTATAATCTAGTTGGGGATACCTAACAACATGCATATGGGATCATTTCGGATACTGACTGGCGCTATGAAGCAGGTATCACAGGGTGATGGAGAATGACAGTTCTAGGCAGATGGCAGCGAGTGCAAAGGCCCTGGGGTAGGTGCATGGAGCAAGGAGGCCAGTGTGGCTGGAGAAGGGGTAGTGAGGAGAAAGTGGCAGGAGATGAGTTTAGGGAAGTGAGGGAACTGGAGCTGAGGAAGCTACGGGACCCTGGGGCGGTCCCTCCGTGGCCTGCAGTCTGGGGAGGGATAGTGGTGCACAGACGACCCAGCAAGCTTAGCATAGTGTGGTCTGATCGATGCTGTCAGCAGGGAGGCCCCTGAACCTGGTGGGGGCGGGGGGGAGTGGTGGACACCCCAGCTTGGCTGCACAGAATGGAGGGGTTCCTGAGGATCTAGGGGGAATGGAATGGGCGCCCCTGGTGAGCAAAGGCTTGGAGGTCGTGGGTTTGCCCTACTTAGGGCCAGGTGCGCTCCAGGCACCAGGCTTATCATCTCCTGACCCCGCAGAGCAGAGCTGGGCCCCATAACATGCAATCTGTCCCCATCTCCTTCCATCACCTCCCCCAGGCATCACCTCCTTCTCTGGCTGAGCCAGAGATTCCAGTTGGTCTCAACTCCTCTCTCCCCCTCACCTTCACATCTAACTAGTTGCCAGGTCCAGAAGTTTCTGCCAGCTAAGCCAGTCTGGAACCTGCCCCCCAACCCAGGCACCACCCCCTCTTTTCTGGACCTTCACCATGGCTCCTTCGCTGCTTCTGTCCTTGTCTTCCTACAGTCCATGCTCCACGTGGAGCCAGAGGGGTCCTGTTCAGCCTAAGTGAGACCACGTCTCCCAGCTCAGAGCCCTCTGTGGCTCCCTGTGGCCCTGGAAGGAAAAGCCAATGCTATCACTGGGGACTATGCGGCCCAGACTAGCCTCCTCCCTGTTGGCTGGACACACCAGTCACAGCCCGCCCCAGGCCCTTTGCACGTGCTGTGGAGTCTGCTAGCTTCTACCAGCTGAGTCCCTCCTTCAGCTCTCAGCCCAAAAGTTTGAGTTCAGGGAACCTGAAACCTGCAAGCATTCTGAACCTGATGCAGGCGATGATGAGTGGGCATCAGAGATTTCTGGCAGGAGTTTTAGGACCATCCATTCAGGGAGGAGTATGCAGGACAGACCTGAGCCAGGAAAGGCTGGGCCAGGGGAATGGAGGGACAGAGGGACAGAGACCAGTGACTGCAGTGTCCACATGGAATAGGGCAGAAGGAAACGTGGTGAGCGGAGCACCTGGGCAGAGCCAGATCTAACACCGGAACCCACCGACTACTCCATGTGGTTGGCCCTGGGCTTTGAAGTGAGATGGGGTCACCCTGATGTGGGGAGGGGGCTTGTCTTCTCTGCACCTTCCCTGGGGGTCCCCAAGGGACTTCCTTGGGCTTTTTCCAGTGACTTTGACTTTGAGATTTACAAACCCCCTTTTTCTGGGGCCCAGGACCCCAGGCTTCTGCCCAGGGAAGAGTCGGGGTTCCCAGGGTCAAGTCAGGTGAGATCCTACCAGGCATGTTGGCTTTTCTTACCAGGGACCCGAGCCTGTCCCTCCCCCTGCCTGCTGGGTCTTAGTTTGCAAACACTGGCAAGGGGTCAAGGAGGTCAGTATGGGGCTCCCAGCTTCGGGGGGAGACATTGGCTGCAGCTGATAAGGGCTTGGGGGCCGGGCAGGGGCTTGCGGGTGCTGCCAGGGTTATCTGGAGGGCCACTCGCTGCCAGCCCATTTCCTGTCGCTATCGACTTATGGCAGCCTCTGGGACAGGCCTCAGGGACTTGAAAACACCCTCCTGGGTCCCAGGCCTGAGGGCTCTGGATGGTGGCAAACCGAGGAGAGAGTTTCCAAAGTCACCAGCTCCAAGCGGAAGGCAGGACGAGCTACGGCGGGGCCGGGGCGGCCAGGACCACGGCCACCAGTCTCAGCCACAGTGATCGTAAATAATGACCGTGGGCCCAGCCGCTGACCTCCTCCGCGGGGCTGCCCCGGGTCAGGCACAGCGCCGAGTGCTTTTCACCGATGGTCTCAGTCACCCTCAAGGTGAATATTCTAAGTGTCCCCATTGCCCCACCCAGGCCAGCAGGGAGAGCCTCCACCTCCCTCTGCCTCTTTGACAAAGGGGCTGTGACCGTCCTCGGAGGGTAGGACTCCCTGTCCCCTCTTAGCCTATGTCCCTAAGCAGCCAGCCTAGGGGGCGTGGGCTCAAGGAGGGGCCTGGGGTCTCCAGCTCCTTCCTCGTCTGCATCTGTCCCATCATCCCTGGTCCCACACACCCAGAGGGCCAGACACACACACGCACACGCGCACACACACACATCTATACGCTACACATGGACACACACCCGTATATACAGGAACACACACATACATGTACACAGACTCACACGTATACACACATCCAGACTCACACACAGTTCACGTATATGCGCCTAGAGTCACATCATACATGTTACATATACGACACACGTGGGTATACATGCAGACAGACACACAACCACGCATATGTACACACCCAGATGCACACAAATCCATTCACTCCCGGACACGCACACACTCATTCACTCACACGCGTGAACTGACAAGCCCAGAGCCACCACCATGGTCTGGGGTCCACGTTAAAGAGTGTCAGCAACATCCAGGGCTTTGAGGGGCTCACGGGTTTGACCCACCGGGGAAAAGCGCCGAGGGCCGTGAGCCAGGCCCCGTGGCTCCGAGGGTGCGGGTGGGAAGGGGATGGCGGAGTCCCCCCTGGGGCAGGCCCCGGCCAGCCTGGCGGAGAGAAGAAGGGAGGGAAGGTTGGCCCTGGGGGTGGCAAGGAATGGCGGGAAGTGCCCAGGGCTGTGGCTGCAGACACGGGACATCACGGCACCGGCGTCCTCCTGGCGCACCCGGAGGCTGCTAAATGCTGCCCCCCCCGCCCCCCCGCTCTTGTGCTCTGGCCTCGGGGATGAGCCCCTGGGAGTGGCCCCAAGCAGAGCTGGGTGGGGGTTGGGCGAGTACCCCCTCCCTCAGCCCTAGGGTGCGTGTTCCCCAGTGGGATGGAGCTCCGGTGGCACACCGCGATGATTGGCTCCGTGACACACCCCTCCTGTCCCCTCCCACCTCGTCCCCACTCTGTGCTGAGCTTCCTGGGGTCGTGTCCCCAGCAAACTGCGGCTCCCAGGGCACTTGCCAGCCAGCCAAGCGTGATCACAAGCCCGCAGTGGGGAGCAGTGCACCCCGTGCCCAGGCCTGGGCAGTGCTGAAAATCCCTTGGCTCCCTGCTCCCCACGGGCCCTTCGGGCAGGTCCTGTTCTTCCCCTTTCCACAGGTAGAGACAGGTGCAGAGAGGTTGCCCCAGCCAGTTCGTGTGCAGGTCTCTGAGCTGGCAGGGGCATGGGGCCAGGGGATGATGCCCCGGGCGGGACTCTAGGGAATGTGGCTGCCACATGGGTCGTGTGGGGTTCCAGCTACGGGGTGGGGGGGCACTTCCTTCACTGGTTGCAGCCTCATTATCCCACTTTCCAGATGAGCAAACTGAGGGCCAAAAAGAAGAAAAGGGCTTCTCTGAGACCACCGGGTTGTTGCTCCCACTCTGGGGGTATAATCACGAAGGGACGGGCTGGGTATGGGGCCACACGATGTCACCTCCATGCTACTTTGCCCTCTACACCTGCGGTGGGGGTGGGACTCACCTAGCCCCTGGCTTCTCTGATCCGCAGTTTCTTGCACAGATGAGATGATCCCTAGGTGGCACCTGCAGGTCCTGCCTGCCCAGTACCCACCCCCTTCCTCAGTGAACATTCCCTGGTTTTTCCTTTGAGGAGCTGGCCTATCTCACCCTTGAGCAAACCCCAGCTCAGCTCCACAGCTCAGACCATCAGCATATTCTACTCCCCTGGACCCAGTGATTGGCTCCTAGGGATAGGCATGTGCCCCAGTTTAGGTCAATGAGAGTCAGTCCCGGACTTCTACTAGAACTCTTGGGGAAGGAAGCTCTTTCTTTTCTTTTCTTTTCTTGTTTTTTTAAAAGATCTTATTTATTTATTTGAACAGAGAGAGACACAGGGAGAGAGGGAACACAAGCAGGGGGAGTGGGAGAGGGAGAAGCAGGCTTCCCGCGGAGCAGGGAGCCGAATGCGGGGCTTGATCCCAGGACCCTGGGATCATGACCTGAGCCGAAGGCAGATGCTTAACGACTGAGCCACCCAGGCGCCCCCGGAAGCTCTTTCTGATGGGAAGCCAGGCTGGGAGCAGATAAGCCTGGAGCTGCTGGGAGGGGAGGATGGGGAGGGATGATTTGAGCTTATGGAGACCCTGCCTGACAAGGAAGTCAGCACAAGAGCAAGTAGAGCTGAGGAGTGGAGAAGAGATAGGGTCTTGGTGACACCTTTGGGGGCCCCTTGATCCAGCTATGCCTGAAGCTAGTGGGCTTTTCTAAGAGCTAATACTTTCCCCCCTTTCCATAAGTCTATTTAATTTTGTTCTTCTGTCCCTTGCAGCCAAGACTCTGGACATATACAGTCTCAACGGACCTGCATTACTTAGAATTAGATTGAGTGACATACTTGGAAAAACAGAAAATAACAGTGATTCTTAGGTAGTTACAAGTTAATTGTTTTCCCCATGTTAAAAAAAAAAATCTGAAGCAGGCAGTCCAGAGTTTCAACGACAGCTCCACAGTCATCAGGAACTCATGCTCCTTCTAACGTCCCATTACACTATTTCAGTGCATGGCTTCCTTTCTCAAGACCATCTCATGGTACAGAGTGGCTGCAGTAGCTCCAGCCATCATGTCCAAGTTCCAAGCAGCAAAAGGAAGAAGAGGAAGGTGAAAGGTGTACCTCAAGCTGAGACTTCACTAGGAGACTTCCCAGAAGTTGCACAGCATGCTCCACTCCCATCTCACTGTTCAGAACTTAGTCACTTGGCCATGCCTCCCTAACGGCGAGGGAAGCTAGGTGTTTAGCTGGGCGTATAGCTACCTGGATACAGGAAGCCTTCTGTTATGAAGGAAGAAGGCAGAATGTCCCTTATGCAGTAGACAACTTGCAGTTTCTGTCTCGGGCTCTTCCAGCAATAATGCTGTGCCTCCAGGAGAATAATGGTCATGTGGGGATTTGTGAAGACTGTCACTGACTCAGCCTGTGTTCTCTCTCTTCACCTTTACACCAGCCAGCGGAGCTGGGTCTACCATCATTCTGTGCCCATTTCACACATGGGAAAACCGAGGCTCCGAGTGCTCACGGAACTTGCCTGAGGTCACCTGGCTCCCTGGGGGCCGTTCAGGGATGACAGCCCAACTTCTTCCTCATTGATGTGTTCAAGTTTGGTGAATAGTCCTCCCAGGGCATGTCACGCTCGAGGATCTGATATTCTCCTGTGTGCTGGCTCGTTTCCTCATTGCCAGAACCCTCCCACACGGAGTGGGTTACTCGTCCTTTTTTACAGAAGGGAAGATTGAGGCTCAGAGGGGCAAGGCGGCATGGTTGGAAATGGCTGCTCTAGGCTCAGGTGGGTGTGCCTGGCCCCAAGGTTGTGTTGCTGGCCTCTGCCATGCGGCCTCTAGGAGCTTGCGATGGAACATCTTGGCCAGGGCTCCCGCCGTACCCCTCTGCCCTGCACCCCTCCTCCCAGCGGGCTGTCATGGCATGGCGCAAAGGGCCGGATGCTCGGGCACCTCCAGCTCTGTCACTGCCTGTCCTTGGGTGATGGCTGGGTCATGGTTGCATCACCTGCACATGGGGTAATCACCGTGGCCACCGTCCCCGGGCCACGACAGGGATGGAAGGAGGCCACGCATGCAGGCCTGGCGTGGGGTAGGCACAGCGTGTGGGTGGCACTCACGGAGCCCCCAGCCCCCATGCCCACAGGGAAGCTGGGCAAGCGTGGAGTCTGGAGGTGAGAAAACCACCCTAATTCCTATGAAACCTGCCCCTGCTTCTCAGCATCCTGCCTGTGGACGAAGGACCCCTGTTTCTGGTCCAACGAGACAGCCCCCCGCCCAGCGTGTTTTCATCGCTCAGAGCCCCAGGACTGATGAGAACTGACATTTATTGAACACTTCCTGTGGCTTTGTGTCTCTTCTTTCCCTGAACCCTCCCAGCCTCCTGGGGGAGGTTGACTGTGCCCCATTCACAGATGGGAAAACCAAGGCTGGGAAGGCGGGGTGGACGCAGCCACTTGCCCAGGGCCGGAGAGCTGGTGCATGGCAGAGCCAGGATTCGGACCCAAGAATCCCACCTCGGGAGGCCACAAGCCGCCCTGCCCCGAGGCCTGAGCCCGGGTCTTCCACGTCCTCACCCCACAGCCAGCTTGGGTATGTGGCCCTGCACGCTCCCTGCCCTGGTTGCTGAGTCACACGTGTGTTTGTGCCCCAGAGATGTAAACACCAAACTGGGAGCCCCTGGGTTGGGGACCATCCAAACACAGCCGGAATGACAGGGGCAGATGCCCAGAGCGCCCTGGGGCTGGGTGTCTGCACAGGGCACGGCGTGGAGTGGGCACCTGGCCCTCCAGATACCTCCCAGGCCTCCTGCTGGGGCCGATAAGTGCCCGGCGCTGCTTATCAGCCCTGCTCCCCTCCTGCTCTACCCGCAGCCTGGAGTATGCATCAGGGGGCGCAGCGGGCTGGCCGTCGGTGATGGGGTGAACCTCCCCAAGCCCGGCCCACCGGACCCCTGAGCTCGTTGCGTCAGAGACAACTGAGTTGTTGTTTCTTTTTGCTTCCGGGTGCCGCCTGCTGGCTTCCCTGCTCCCATGATGGGGGCATTTTTAGAGAAATTAAAAACAAAGGTATTTTCTTTTTCTAAATTATAAAATGAACACAGTTGGGGGGAGAATTCTAAAATAAACGTATTACGATAATCTGCATACATGTGTAAACATAGGAGGAAGGAAACAGAGCTGATGTTAATGCAGGACTCCGGGAGAGTCTTACTTTGTTCTTCACGGGGTTCTGTATTACTTACAGATGAGTCCTAAAAACCAGAAAACGAAGTTTGTGTGTAATTACTCCAAATCCTAATGGGGCGGGGTTCTTTCTACAGCTGTCAGCTTGCTCATATTGATCTGGGTGCCCCTGATGAGCCCAAGCTAGTTGGGGGGATGCAGTGGCTGTTCTTACCCCCTCCTGTCTCTTGTCTATGGCAATGCACTCGATTTTCTAAGAAGGTAACTCACAGAATGTGCTGTTCCCTGGCATAGAACCCTCTGTGGCTCCCTACTGCCCTGGAATGAAATCCCAGTTCCTTGTCTCAGCCTCCCTGGCTGGTGTGAGCCAGCCCTGCCAGCTCTCAGGTACCTCTCTTAAGAGCCACGCTCCCACCAGATGTCTGCTCTGGCTCCTTCTTGTCCCTCAGCCCTAGCTCCAAAGTCACCGGGGCTCAGCTCAGATGTCACCCCTGCTCCCCCGCCACCAGATACCTTCCTGGGTCTCCTTGTCTAAGCTGCTTCCCCTTCACCCCCATCCCCGTTCTCTCTCATTTTTCTTTTCTTTCTTTCTTTCTTTCTTTCTTTCTTTCTTTCTTTCTTTCTTTCTTTCTTCTTTCTTTCTCTTTCTTTCTTCTTTCTTTCTTTCTTTCTTTCTTTCTTCTTTCTTTCTTTCTTTCTTCTTTTTCTTTCTTTCTTATTTCTTTCTCTTTCTTCTTTCTTTCTTTCTTCTTTCTTTCTCTTTCTTTCTTCTTTCTTTCTTTCTTTCTTTCTTTCTTTCTTTCTTCTTTCTTTCTTTCTTTCTTCTTTTTCTTTCTTTCTTATTTCTTTCTCTTTCTTCTTTCTTTCTTTCTTTCTTTCTTTCTTTCTTCTTTCTTTCTCTTTCTTTCTTCTTTCTTTCTTTCTTTCTTTCTTTCTTTCTTCTTTCTTTCTTCTTTCTCTTTCTTTCTTTCTTCTTTCTTTCTTTCTTTCTTTCTTTCTTTCTTTCTTTCTTTCTTCCTTCCTTCCTTCCTTCCTTCCTTCCTTCCTTCCTTCCTTCCTTTCTTTCTTTCTTCTTTTTTTTTCCTGGACAGCTATCTCTTTTTCTGGTGCTGGCATCTGGGACAAGGGCCTGGGCCCGGCCTCAGAGCATCCTAGGAGTAAATCTGTTCCTCTAGTTCCTCCTTGGAGCTGACCAGGGTCTCTGGGTTGCATTCCCCCCAACAACCCCATTTCTGGAGGGTAGGCCTTGCCCCTGCCCGACCCTAGGCCTCCCACTACCCAGGAGGCCCACCCCTGTGCTGGTGTGACCTGGTGGCTGACCAGTGGGCATCCTGAACTCTCCTGGGCCAAAGCAGAGGTGAACATTGCAGGAGGCCGCTTGGCTCCCACGGGCCCAGGCTGAGGGAATGGCTTGTGCAAAAGGCCACCATCCTGAATCTCAAGCCGAGGTTTAATAGAAGCCTCCAAGGTGACAAGGGTGGGGGACAGCTGTGCTCCCAGGGCGGGCAGGTCGGAGAATCCTGCACTGACTGAGCACCTAGCTTGTGCCAGGCCCCGTGCCTACCACTCAGTGGTGTCAGCTCATTGAATCCTCACAACTCTGTGCAAGATGCATGTACACCGTCCCCATTTTGCAGACGCAGAAACTGAGGCTCCAAGTAGCTAGGGAGCTTGCCGGAGGCCACATAGCCAGTAGCTGACAGACCCCAAAGCCAGCTCCTTAACCTGCTGCTGGGCTCTCAACTGGAGGGAGCAGCGACGTGAAGTACGGTGCAGCCACGAAGAGCCAGCAAGTGGGGGTGTATTTCTTGCCATGGAAAGATGCTCACGGAGCACTGTGGGAAGGAAAGGGTAGCCGCCGATGGAAGCTTCTCTGGCATCCCTGGGCCCACCTTCTTCTACAGCAACGATTAAACATGCTCCCCAGTTTGCCATAGTCCCCGGCTGGCCTTACTGTGCCTCTCACCAAGCTCTGGGGCATTTTAGTTTGTTGGTAGGAGCCACGGGAGAGAGTCAAGCGGGGGACAAAGGCAGGGGCCACATCAGGCACACATACGTTTTATTGGCCCGATGTCTAACTAGAGGACATTCAGGCAGTTAAGCCCTAAATGGATGGAGGGAGGGACAGATGGGTGGATGGAAGAAAGGACAGAGAGAGACAGGGAAGGCGGGATGAATACAGGGATAGAGGGATGGAGAGACAGACGGATAGAGGGATGGATGGAGGGATAGATAGACTGCCAACCCCCATCCCCACCCCTGCAATGTCGGCTTTGCCGCAGGAGATGGTTTAGTGCAAGTGTTAATGATTCAAGGGTTTGGAATCAGACAGACTCAAACTTGAATTTGAGTCCCTTTCCTTACAAGCTGTGTGACCTTGGGCAAGTCACTCACCCCCTCTGATCCTCAGTTTTCCTATCAATAAAAAAATGCAGAGTAATAGCTCGTAGCACCTCACAGGACACACATGGGAAGAGCATTTAGGGCCAGGTTTGAGGGAGGAGCCCTGAGGTGGGGGGGGGCAGTCCTTTGTTTCTATCCGTGCTGTTCCTGCCGCCCTCCCTGCCTGTCCCGGGAAATCAGGTCCGTCCCTGGGGAGACTCGGTGCTCCCCACCCCTCCAGTTCTGAGGAGCTCAGGATCTCATGGGTCCAACACCAGTAGCATTGCTTGTTTGTGGGTTCCAGATGTGGGACAGGTGTCAGCCGCCAGACACACGGTCTGCACTCAGCGGTAGAAGCAGAAGGGCCTCGAAGCCCCGCCCAGAGCAATCCTTGTTATCGGGGCTCCAGCCCTGGCTGTGCCTCGGAACCTGCCTCTGGGGGCTTCTCCCTGCACGGGCCCCACCCGGGATCCCCGTCTCCAGGAGAAGGGCCTGGGCATGGCTATGTTTTCAAGAGCTTCTAGATGATTCTAGGGTGAAGTTTGGCCTAAGAACCACCATGTTTAGTTCTTTTCAGTATTTTTGTTTCCACCTGGCCATTTTTTCTGCTTTTCTCTTTAGTTTCTTCAGAGATTGGAAAAGATTCTGCTCTCTATAGTTAGAGGAAGAATTCAAATTTGTTTCCTTTTTAGGGTCTTGATGGTTCAGTTTAAAAAATATTTTTTTGTGAATCCTCTTGGAGTACAGCTGGTTAGAGCAGGGAGATGGGGCCCCCCTTCTTTTTCCTTTATATGGCTCTAAAATCCTCCCTGAGTGTATGTAGCATGGGGCTGGCTTTCAGTACAACTTAAACTGGATTCAAAGAACAACACTTAGTGCAGGGGCGCCTGGGGGGCTCAGTTGGTTTAGCTTCGACTCAGGTCATGATCTCAGGGTCGTGAGATTGAACCCTGTGTCAACACAGAGTCTCCTTGAGATTCTCTCTCTCCCTCTCTCTCTGCCCCTCCCCCAACTTGTGTGCTCTCTCTCTCTCTCTCTAAAATAAATAAACAAAATTTAAAAAAAAAGAATAGCACTAAGTGCAAATCAAAGCAAAAAAGTAAGATTCTACTTCACACCCTTAGAATAGCTGGAATGAAAATCCAGATAATACCACATGCTGGTGGGTGTTGGTGGGTGTTGGTGGATAGTGATAGGTTTGTGGGTGTTGTTGGGTGTTGGTAAGTTGGTAGGTGTTAGTGAGTGTTGTTGGATGTTGGTAAGTTGGTAGATGTTGGTAGGTGTTGGTTAGGTGTTGGTAGGTGTTGGTCAGTTGGTAGGTGTTGGTGGGTGTTGGTAGGTTGGTGGGTATTATTGGATGTTGGTAAGTTGGTATGTGTTGGTAAGTATTGGTAGGTGTTGGTAAGTTGGTGGGTGTTGGTGGATGTTGGTAGATGTTGATAGGTGTTGGTGGGTGTTGGTAGATGTTGGTAAGTTGGTGGGTGTTGGTGAGTGTTGGTGGGTGTTTGTGGGTATTAGTAGGTATTGGTAAGTTGGGTGTTGGTAGGTGTTGGTAAGTTGGTAGATGTTGGTGGGTGTTGGTGAGTGTTGGTGGGTGTTGGTGGGTATTGGTAGGTGTTGGTAAGTTGGTGGGTTTTGGTGGATGTTGGTGGATGTTGATAGGTGTTGGTAAGTTGGTGGATGTTGGTGGGTGTTGGTAGGTGTTGGTAAGTTGGTGGGTGTTGGTAAGTGTTGGTGGGTGTTGGTGGGTATTGGTAGGTGTTGGTAAGTTGGTGGATGTTGGTGAGTGTTGGTGGGTGTTGGTGGATGTTGGTGGATGTTAGTGGGTGTTGGTAGGTGTTGGTAAGTTGGTAGATGTTGGTGGGTGTTGGTAAGTTGGTGGGTGTTGGTGGATGTTGGATGTTGGTGGGTGTTGATAGGTGTTGGTGGATGTTGTTGGATGTTGGTGGGTGTTGATAGGTGTTGGTAAGTTGGTGGGTGTTGGTGGATGTTGTTGGATGTTGATAGGTATTGGTAAATTGGTAGATATTGGTGGGTGTTGGTAAGTTGCTGGGTGTTGGTGGATGTTGGTGGGTGTTGGTGGATGTTGGTGGATGTTGGTGGGTGTTGGTAAGTTGCTGGGTGTTGGTGGGTGTTGTTGGATGTTGGTGGGTGTTGATAGGTGTTGGTAAGTTGGTGGGTGTTGGTGGATGTTGGTGGATGTTGGTGGATGTTGATGGGTGTTGGTAGGTGTTGGTAAGTTGGTAGATGTTGTTGGGTGTTGGTAAGTTGCTGGGTGTTGGTGGATGTTGTTGGATGTTGGTGGGTGTTGGTGGGTGTTGGTAGGTGTTGGTAAGTTGGTGGGTGTTGGTGGGTGTTGGTAGATGTTGGTAAGTTGGTGGGTGTTGGTGGGTGAGAATGTGGAGGAGTTGGAAGTCTCCTGGTGGGAATGTCAGGTGGAAAACAGCCTGGCGGGGCTTCAGATGATTAAACATAGGGCTGCCATATGACCCAGAAATTCCACCCCAGGTGTCTAACTGAGACAGTAAAAGCAAACATCCTCACACAGTCTCATCCATGAGTGCTCACTGTAGCACTAT